CAGGACAGCACTGCTCTCATGTTCCATTCTGGCTGTGGCTCGTGCTGTGCCTTGCAAAAGCCAGACCACATTTTCCTGGGGCGACAGGATCTGCTGTCATTGGCATAAAAACTCCCTGTGCTAGCACTTTCTCTGAAGGATGACCTGCTGCCTTTCCCATGTGTCCAGGGGGTTCAGGAGGGTGGCAGAGGACTGTCCTGCTCCCTGCTGTGCCTCTGCCCTGTGGCTGTGGGATTTGCTGGGCACAGGGAGCAGCAGATCCTGGCTGAACCCAGTGCTGGGTAGGAGGTGTGTAAACTGGGGCTTGCCAGGGCCAGAATTGCTGCTGTAAGATGGGATTAACCTTTTCTGCAGAACTCAGCTGTTGGGATGGGTGCTGGGAAACAGCCTCCCTTGCTCCCAGGCACTGGAATATTGCCCAGGGACGTGGTGGAGTCACCACCCCTGTAAGTGTTTACGAGGTGACTAGATCTGATGCTGGAAGATATGGTTTTGGGGTTCCAGTAGTGACAGGTTAACCAGTTGGACTTTTGATGATCTTAAACCAGCCTTGATAATTCTGTGACTCTCCAGGCACTCCTTGGTGAGGGATTGCAGGGTGCAGGAGGGTTTGAGGGGATGCTCTGGGGATCCTCACTCCTTGCTCTGCTGACACTCACCTCTTTCCCCAGCACTCTGGACATCTTCCCCACGCTGGTGGCCCTGGCTGGGGCAGCACTTCCCCCAAACAGACGCTTTGATGGCTTGGATGTGTCCCCAGTCCTCTTTGGATGGTCAGATGTGGGGCACAAGGTAAGGCAGAGAGACCCCCTGGAGACACCCCACTCCTGACAGCAGCTCCTTGAGCTGAAACAAGTAAGTGGGGGTGGAAACAGGCTCAGAGCTAGTGATGTGTGGACCCATGGGAGCATCACCTCGTGGCCTGGAGGAGGAGGAGGAGAGCTGGACATGTCTGGGTGCTGTACCAGGCTGGGCTTGGGATATCAGGGTACAAGAGTTTTGGATTAATGGAGATTGGGTTGTGCTTTGCACACAGATCTGGAATTAGAGGTACAAATACCTGTGCATGAAGCTTGGCACCTCCCTGTGTGCTGCAGGGCTGTGTTTGTGATCTCAGGGACAC